GAGCACTTTTAAGCTGCCTTCTGCCAACCTGGGCTGACTTTTTCTTCCTTCATGGGTTTTTCTATTTTACTGTCTTTTGCCCCAATATTACCGTAAACAAAATGAAGTCGAATTCCTAAAAGAGTGATTGAGATATCTGAAATCCATGGTACTGAAGGGTCCTATAACTGGAACAAAAAGAAATTGTTTAGCCTAACTATTGTTATCTCGCTTTCCCTCTGATGTAACTCAATCTTTGCTGGAGATTTTGAGGTTATAGATAACATGTTGTTTTGACTAAAAGAGAGCCTAATGTTAGACAATGGAAAGAGGAAGAAAACTGATTTGTTCATAGATGAGTCTAGCAAAGTAGCTGAAGGGGAAAAAAGGCATGATGGATGTGTGATGGTGAATGGGGAGGAGAGAATGTTGGTGGAGGCTGGGGGACAGCTTTCCCTCCCTTTGGTCAGCTCAGGCTTGTGGGCTCTACAGCAGGCTCTGAGGTTGTTGATACAAGGGGAATATGGATACTTTTGGAAAAAGTTGGAAACAAAGAAGATTGATTAATAATAATAATAATAATAATAAAGTTACTCAAGTAAAGTTGATAGACACGTGGGAAGTTGAGAAGGGCATGCAGCTGCAAGAAGGAGGAGTTAGAGAATGTGTTTTGTTTTGGGCTTATGTTGTGGGAAGTACACAGTGGCTGGACAGATTGTGACATCTAGTGGTGAAACCATTTCAATACAGGCCTCAGCTCTGGAAAACTTGTTTGAAATGATGTATGGGAGTTGCACAAAGGTCAAGAATGTCAGTGAAGAAGAGAAGAATGTTACTCAGTTATTTGCATAATCTGGCACAGGTTTTGTCTTCTATCTCAGTACAGACCCATGCTGCCCTATCACCTGTCTCCAATTCTTGTTCCTGGAGAGTGGGTTCAGGTGAAAGAACTGTCACCTATACCAGCCCTAAGTGTCCCAGCCCCGTCAAGTCCTCCTGAGCACATTAAGATAGCATTAACATTAAGACAGCATTCTGCACAAACAGAAAATATCCACCATCCTAAGAAACCCCAAAGATAAAATTGAATTAGAAAATCAAGGAGTATACGAAATCTCATGCACCACTTGTCCCACCACATACATCGGACAAACCAACAGAAGAATAAGTGCACACATTGAAGAACATAAGAACTCTGTCAAAAAAGAGGAACCAACTTCTTCCCTGGTCCAACACCTTAAAATCACAGGACATGAAATTGACTTTAAAAAGACCAGAACTATCGCCAAAACTGAACACTTTAATAACAGAATAATCAGAGAAGCCATCGAGATAGAAAAACGTCCACACAGCATGAATAAATGAGATGATACCTCCCGCCTACCAGCCATTTGGAAACCCGCCCTTATTGACAAATGAGTCCCTAACACAAAGAATGACACCAGACCCACACTCACAAAAGCCACACCACACGTCCACGCAAAAAGCAAACCCAAACCCATACCGATGATGAGGCACGACCACAAACCAGAAGCCAGACCACAGCTGCATCATTAGCCACTTTAAACCCCTCCAATCCATACATGAAGCAAACTGACACCCACCATGAAGATGAGGCACGACCGCGAAACCAAACAATAGCAATGCAGCTCACCATCTCACATCCCCAAGCAACTCAGACTAACCTGAGCACAACAAAGCCCCCACCCAAAGAGAACACTCCCCCAACCAATCAGAGCACAGCCAACCCCTCATCCAATTAGAGCACAGCCAAGCTCATAACCAATCAGAACACACCTCCATCCAATCAGAACACAGCCAAGCTCTCATCCAATCAGTTCATACCTCCACTGGCAGTTAAAAGGAAGAAACAGCTACGATCACACATTGGTCCTAGAAGCACGAAGCCAAAAACACCAGCCTGGAGATGACGAATGAGACTTCATCGAAACGTCGCCAAGACACTTCCAATTTTACGTGGGAGAAAACCCGAATTGGAAGTGTCTTGGCGACGTTTCGACGAAGTCTCATTCGCCATGTTCAGGCTGGTGTTTTCGGCTTCGTGCTTCTAGGAGCAAGAAGCACGAAGAAGCTCCTAGAAGCACGAAGCCGAAAGCACCAGCCTGAAGATGACGAATGAGACTTCGCTGAAACGTCACCAAGACACTTCCAATTTTACGTGGGAGAAAACCCGAATAACCAAAGACCTACATACAAACACCTGCGAAAACCTCAGAAAATATATATATATATATATATATATATATATATATATATATCATAAGGGTAAAAAAGATATATATATATCATAAGGGTAAAAAAGAATATATACAGTGTTAGCTTCATTTTAGATATCAAAAGGGTTTTGTGGCTGCCAGTGTCTTGTTTTCAGTGGGAAAGGGGTCCAAGTGACTCTTTGAGTATTTTGGGTTACCTACTGCTGGTATAGGTAGTCTTCAACTTACACAGTTCATTTAGTGACTGTTGAAAGTTACAGCCCTGCAAAAAGTGATTTTTGACCGTTTTTCACACTAGTAGTCCCATGATCATGTGATCAAAATTAAATGTTTTGCAATTTGATAATAATAATAATATTAACAACAACAACAAGAAGAAGAAGTAAGTTGGAAGAAGATGGATAGATTATATTCAGAAAAAATATGGTACTATAAAGTTTCATTTTCAAAAACAAAAAATAAAGCCCAGGTTCAAAGTACCCAGCTTCACAACTTGTACTTTAGTTATAGTGAAATATTAAACCACATGCTTCACAGAAACAGAACAAATTTTTATTTTTTTTCATGTTTGCAGGTTTACTTCCGAAACATCTATCGTTTCACACAGATATTTTTTTTCTTCCTCCAATGAGAGGATTCCAATTTATTTTCATATTTTAAATGCTGTCCTTGTATCCTCTTTGAGTGTATAAATATGTCTAACTTTGATATGATGCCCCAAACAGGAACAAACGTAGTTAACGTCATGACTGTCTTTCTGAAGCATGGACTTCAGAGTTGTGAAGTGATTAGAGAAATTTCAATGGAAGGTAGAGGAAAACTATTGGAAGCAGGATCAAGTACACATATTGCAGGTAGTCTTCAATTTACAACAGATCATTTAGTGACCGTTGAAAGTTACAGCCCTGAAAAAAGTGATTTATGACGGTTTTTCACACTTACGACCTTACTAGTAGTCCCAGGATCATATGATCAAAATTCAAATGTTTTCCAATTTGATAATAGTAATAGTAAATTATATCCACAGCATTCCTCTGGTCCACTAATTTTGTCATTTGTTCATACTTATGACTGTTGCTATGTCCGAAGGTCATGCGATCGCCTTTTGCAACAATTTGAAAATCAAAATCCTTACAGAAGCCAGATTCACTTAACAACCCTGTTACTAACTTAACAACTTGATTCACTTAACAGCTGTGGCAAGAAAGATTGTAAATGTATAAACATAAACATGAATATAAACTAAGTGGAGGAACTCAGTGTTACTGTCCTTTGATTGATGAATCCAAGATCCAATCACCACTCACTGAATTTCTGGACAACAGAAATGGCCTCCTCCTTTCCCAACACAGGGCCTAAAAATCCGTCCTGAGCTGAGGAAGGTCTTTAGTCCCTGCGGTTTGTTCTATTTTAGTCACCCCTCGGGCTGAGACAGGTAATATTGTCAATTGTTTCCACACTTTTTTGCAGTGAAGACAATTGTGGGCAAATACAAAATTCTATAAATAACTATAAATAGGATGATGGTGGTGATAAATACCAGGGCAAAACAAGGCAAGGCAACAGGAAGGAATGGTTACACTGGATTTGGGAGCAAATCTTTAAATCTCTGTTCCAATTTCCCTCTCTCTCTCTCTCTCTCTCTCTCTCTCTCTCTCTCTCTCTCTCTTTCTCTTTGTGTGTGTTTATTTGTTTAGTATGTGGCATATCATACCTGGATTTGCAATATATATTAACATTTCATCTAGACTAATAAAACAATATAATATAAATTTGAGAAATATCTATGTTGTAAACCAATGTCTAGGCCATGGGTAGGCAACCTTGGCTCTTTTATGACTCGTGGATTTCAACTCCCAGAATTCCTGAGCCAGCATGGCTCAGATTGGAAACCTCTCCATTTCTCCTCAGCATGGCTGGCTCAGGAATTCTGGCAGTTGGAGTCCACGAGTCAAAAAAGAGCCAAGGTTTCCTCCCCCTGGTCTAGGCCCTCTAACCCTTGAAGCGAAGCATCATGTATATTTTAAAATGAGAAACTGTATATGCCCTCAGTTTACAGTGGGGCATGATGTGATGTACAATTTGACGTGGGATCCTCAGTTTGTGTGTGTTTCAACACCTGTTTGCTGTTTCTGAGACCTAATGCTAATTGTTGTTTAAATTGTCCTGGCCCAGAATTGTTCCTCATCCTGTTAGTTCCCTTTCTTTTCTGCTTTGCTGGCAGAATGTAGTGGCTGGTCTTTACATTTTCTTCAGCTGGCAGGCCAAACCTTTACATTTATTATTTAACCTTATGTCAAGATTGAGCTAGACCAGGGGTAGGCAACCCAAAACACTTAAAGAGCCACTTGGACCCGTTTCCCACCAAAAACAAAACACTGGGAGCCGCAAAACCCTTTTGATATCTAAAATGATGATAACACTGCATATATCCTTTTTTACCTTTATTATAGGTGTGTGTGTGTTTGTGTGTGTGTGTTTGTGTGTATGTATGTGTGTGTATATATGTATATGTATATATGTATGTATGTGTGTGTGTATATATATATACACACACACACACACACACACACACACACACATACACACACAGGTAAAAAAAGGATATATGCAGTGTTATCTTCATTTTAGATGTCAAAAGGGTCTCTCTCTCTCTCTGTCTCTCTCTCCCTCCCTCTCTATCTGCCCTTGGTCTCCACTCCTCTTCCCCCGCTCTCTTTCTTTCTCTCTCTCTGTCCCTCCCTCTCTCTCTCTTTCTCCCCCCCCCTCCTATCTGCTGCTCACCTGGCAAGCTTCAAGCTGTTGTCCAACAAGCAACCTCGTCTCTTTTATGACTCATGGACTTCAACTCCCAGAATTCCTGAATCAGCCTAGCTGGGCTAGCTAGCTCTCTCCTGCCCTTCCTGCTTCCTGCTTCCTGCAGAGACGCAGCAAAGGAAGGAGCTCCGCCCAGTAAGCTTTTCAGCTCCTCGGAGAACATGTGAGTACACTCTCTTTTACACAAAACCACACACACACACACAGAGAGAGAGAGAGAGAGAGAGAGAGAAGCAGGGAAGCGCAATTCCTCTCTCTGTCTCTGTCTCTCTCTGCAAAGGCAGAGGAGGCTGGGAGCCACAGGGGAAGGCTCAAAGAGCCGCATGCGGCTCCAGAGCCGCAGGTTGCCGACCTGTGAGCTAGACTAGTACAGGTAGTCCTCAACCTCCTACAGTTCACTTAGTGACCGTTTAAAGTTATGACAACAGCAAAAAAGTGACTTATGACCATTTTTCACACTTATAGTGTGACGTGATCAAACGTTAGATCCTTGGCATACTTATGTTCATACTTATGACTCTTGCTGTGTCCTAAGGTCACGTGTTCACCTTTTGCAACAGTTTGAAAAGCAAAATCAATGCAGAAGCCAGATTCACTTAACCTCCATGTAACCAACTGGATAACCCAGTATAATTTTGCAGGGTTCTTCGTTTCCTCTCAATACACTCTACTAAAACAACGGCTTTGTAAAGGTGGGAAAGAGCTATAGCCATTCGCACTTCCTTAATTTATCTCAACATGACATCTTAGATTCTCTTTTTTATCATGCCTTTCTCTGTTTTGTAGGATATTATGGTAAAACAGTAGCTGCTCAGTCATCGTATTTAGTGGATTTAGCAAACGAGTGGACTTTATGAGAAGAATCGTGGAAATGGCAAGTAGCGGGTTTTCCATAGTTGTTAGTGACAGACCTATTGCATTCTGGCCCTTGTTGTTGTTATCACATGGCAATAACATCGGGGAATGCACTGATTGAAATAACAGCTCTGGTGTCTCTTAAAAATCAAACTTTTCTTCTGCATTTATGCATTCTTTGCCTCCTAGGACTTCTGATAAAGGAGGATTCGTTCTTCTGTTATTGTATTTCATTTTGACAACCCATCCTTACTATACAATATTTGTGTAGCTCGGTTACTGTGGTCAGCGGCCTAGAGCAGTGCTTGAGTGGCATTGGGATGTGGGGAACTTGGAAAATGCTGAAAAGTTGGGAGTTATCTCTAGATAATCAATAAAGCTTTTTCTATTTCAATATATATAGGTACCCATTTGCAATATGACTTTTGGCAGTAAATAATAATTAACATTAATCATTGCAATATTGTCGGCATCATCAACGACCAAAATACGCATCACACCAGAAGCAACTCATGTGTCTACATTCACAGCCCCCTGAAAAACATCCTGGCCCAAGGGAGCTTTTATCATTTACGGTGGACATGTGATAAAGTAAAGAAATATTGGAGTAGGATTTCTATTCTAATACAGAAAATTCTGAAAGTGAATATAAAGGTAAAAGCAGAAACTGTTCTTTTTGGCTTAATGGAAAAAAGACTTGGAAACAATGATGGAACTTCAATGTTATATACGTTGATGGTAGCAAGACTACTTTATGTACAAAAAGGGAAGGACATTTCGATCTCCACAATGGAGGAATGGTTGCAAAAGTTGATGGAGGTAGCAGAGATGGCTAAATTGACTCCTTTGATGAAAACAACAACAACACATGAGTACTTTTTTTTCAACTTGGAAACCCCTTCTTCACTTCTGGAATTCTAGGAGGTTGGACTAGAAGATCTCCAAGGTCCCTTCCAACTCTGTCATTCTGTTAAATTCAGCTTCTAAGTGACTTTTATGGCCTCTGATAAATATCTTTTTGGGGTTTTATCTTCCAGCCTATTATTAAATGGTAAATATAGAATCTTTCTTCTGTAAGTAAACTCGTATTCCAAAAATGTTTCCAGGTTGGTTATTTATTTTAAGATGTATATTGCAAGACATCACCAGTGCTCCTTGTCTATAGAAGAAATAGCCCTCCAAATTACAGGAAGTCCTCAACTTACCACTGTTCATTTAGTGACCATTTGAAGTTACAACGTCACTGAAAAAAGTGACATATGTTCGTTTTTCACAGTTACCCCCTTTGCAGCATCCCCATGATTCTGTGATGAAAATTCAGATGCTTGGCAACTGGTTCATACTTATGACCTTTGCTGTGTCCCAAGGTCATGTCACCTCCTTTTGTGACCTTCTGACAAGCAATGGGGAAGCCAGATTCACTTAACAACCAGGTTACTCGCTTATGAACTGGAGTGATTCACTTAATAGCTGTGGCAAGAAAGGTCATAAAATGGGGCAAAATTCCATTAACAAATGTCTCTCTTGACAACAGAAATTTTAGGCTCCATTGTGGTTGTAAGTCGAGCACTACTTGTACTTTTGGTTGGGAAGTTGACATGTGTTTGCCTGTGCCAGATGAAATTGGTGCCTCTCTGTAAGCGGTCAGATTGCAGTCGCTGTCAGGCCACCATTTACATGGAGAGAAATGGCCAGTCTGGGAGTTGCGCTCACCTCTCCAGAGAAAATCGGTTAGAGGGGTTGAATTGCAGAGCTGTATGCAAATGCGGTTTTGTAGATGGAGATGCACAGAGGATAATACTGATAATCTTTCATATCTTTAAAAAAAGAGTAATAGCATTTGGCACCTAATACCAGTCTGGAATTAAGACGGTAAGTCTTACTGGTGATTAAGTAGGACATCATGTGACCAAACCTATTCTACAACGGTGTTTGCAGCGGTCATTAAATGAAAGCTGCAGTCGTTAAGTGTACCCATTTTTCAGAATGGGCATTTTTTACCAGATATTGGTAGTCAACGCCAGCAAAACATTGTAAGCTGTAGTCACGTGATTGTGGGATGCTACAAAAAGCTCTGAATGTGATCTGGTTGCTGATTGCCCACAATGCAATTGCATGAGTGCAGATGGGGGAGAGGGCAAACATCAAGCCTTTGAATCCAAGCCCTAAATACCTTATATTCTTATTCTTAGTAAACGTGAAGCAACACATCTTTTTCAATGGAAAATGTAGTACCAATTAACAAGGTTACTGAGAGGAGAATAACAAAGCAAGGTATGCAATGTTGCCATTCACATGATCATTTTTATTTACAGTTTAATGGAAATCACTGGCATGGAAATTGTTCACGTCTGGATAGGACATACACTTTCCTTGCCATTTTAGCTGTCCCATTTGTGTATCTTATATACGGTATTTTGCTAGTGTGTGCAACAATCTAGCATGAGTTGCAAGAAATTATTGCCTCTTAGCCAGTGTAACTTGGGTATTCTTCTGTAAAATTCCTTCTTCTGGAAGAATGCAAACTTTCTGCCCCCATAGCAGATCTACAGTGCTTTCTGTGCCTCCAATCATGATGTTCCAAGGACAGATCTTCCTGATGTTGCTGAACAAAATTCTCCTTCTTACTAGACAATACACTGGTTGATGTTCAGAAAGTACAGGTAATCCTCCACTTATGACAGTTCACTTAGTGACTGTTCAAAGTTACAACGGCACTGAAAAAAGGCACTTATGATCTTTTTTCACACTTACGTCCGTTGCAGTAGCCCCTTAGTGACATGATCGATATTCAGATGCTTGGCAACTGACTCATGTTTATGACTGTAGCAGTGTCCCGGGGTCATGTGATCAACTTCTGAGTCCTTCTGGCAAGCAAAAACAATGGGGAAGCCACATTCTCTTAACAACTGTATTACTATCTTAACAACTGCAGTGATCTGCTTAACAACTGTGGGAAGAAAGGTCGTAAAATGGGGCAAAAGTCACTAAACAAATGTTGTATTTAAAAGATAAATTTGTGTATCCATTGTGGTAAGTTGAGGACTACTTGCGCGTAGCTGAGGAACCTCCGGAAATGTCAGGTTTCCATTAATATTGTAAGTGAATACTAATCACTGTATCCCATAGAACGGTGGAAAAAATACGAGAAAACAGACAAAGAAGTTTGTTGAAATTCTGCATTTAATGAAAAGTTTGTTATTCCTAACAAAAGTGTAATGAAACTAGGTTTAAACTAAATTAGCAGATATAAAGAATTTTTTAGTTTTATTCTAAAACAACAAGAACAAAAACAAGAAGATGCACAACAACAACAAGTACAACAAAAAGAATTACAACAATAACATTAACAAGACGCAGGAACTTCCTCGTTGGAAAGTGGCTCCTCACAGGGCTTCGCTGCTGGGGCTGATTCCGCCGTCCGTCTATATGCAGATAGAATACCAGAACAGAATACCAAGAGTTGGAAGGGACCTTGGAGGTCTTCTACTCCAACCCCCTAGTCATGAATGCATTGTTCCCAGCATGGCCTCCATTTGTCTGCTGTGCTCAATTGCCAGCTTCTGGTGCAGCCCATCAAGAAAGGCAAGACTGCCTCCTGTGAGTGAAAGAACCACCCTTTGCTGCTCCTGCCTTTTCTCTTCCCTAGTTGTTCTCGGATAGTGCAGAAAGCAGTTCCTGCTCAAAGCTAACCATCTGCAGCTGCCCGGACGTCTCAGGGCTCTCCTGCTGCAGCTGTGCTTCAGCCAAATCACTCTCCGCTGGCTGTTCGGAGGCATTGGCCAACTCACCTCCTGATGTGCCAGGGACTGGTTCATCCTCCTCCGATCTACCTTCTGGAGAGGCATCTGGGGAAGCGTCTGGGGGAGGAATCAAAGGCTATTCTTAGTACCACACTCTTTCTATAAAAGTATACAAACTTTGTTCTTTCTGGAGTTACTTTTGATACTTTTTGTGGGGTATCAAAAGTAAGGAGAGGGTTGCCATTTCCTTCTCCCGTGGACCACGTTATGTCAGCACTCTGCACTATGACCTGTCTGACTTGGGTGACCCTGCCCGTCAGAGCTTATTGTTTCCTTGAGCAAGGCATTGATCCACAAAGAGGCTAAAATAGGTACCTCTTTTAATTAGAGACTGAGGTCCAGGGAGTCCTCC